CAGCAGCCAGAATCTGCCTGGATCTAAACCTTCAAGCACATTTAGGGCCAGACAAACCAGGACCATCGCGGGAACTCGGACTGACTCGTCTCAGTGATGAATGACCGGCTCTTTTCATTTTTCTGTGTTGGAGGACTCCAAAGAGCTTCACACCACAGCGAATCACACACGGATGGTGATGAGCTGCATCGTGGCTACGGCTAACATCAGGGCACACAGCCACCACCAGTCCCTCCAACCACCAGCAGGGGAAGAAGGTGACTTGTCTTGCTCAAGGACCCAACGACTGCGTCAGAATGAGCGGGGCACGAACCACAAACCCTCCGGTTACAGGGAAGGACGTTTAGCTGGCGACGTCCAAACATTTAGAGACAAGAGCTCAAAACATCAGATTACAGTTTTTAAATAAATCTGTCGTCGTCGTCTTCCTCCGCTGGTCCGGGTCGCGGGGGCAGCATCCCAACTAGGGAGCTCCAGACCGTCCTCTCCCCGGCCTTGTCCACCAGCTCCTCCGGCAGGACGCCAAGGCGTTCCCGGACCAGATTGGAGATGTAACCTCTCCAACGTGTCCTGGGTCGACCCGGGGGCCTCCTGCCGGCAGGACATGACTGAAACACCTCCCCAGGGAGGCGTCCAGGAGGCATCCTGACCAGATGCCCAAACCACCTCAACTGACTCCTTTCGATCCGGAGGAGCAGCGGTTCTACTCCGAGTCCCTCCCAAATGTCCGAGCTCCTCGCCCTATCTCTAAGGCTGAGCCCGGCCACCCTACGGAGGAAACTCATTTCGGCCGCTTGTATCCGCGATCTCGTTCTTTCGGTCATTACCCAAAGCTCATGACCATAGGTGAGGATTGGGACGTAGATCGACCGGTAAATCGAGAGCCTGGCTTTCTGGCTCAGCTCCCTCCAGGGTATCCACGGGTCCTTAAAAAGTCTTAAAAAGTCTTAAATTAGATTTTCCAAATTTAAGGCCTTAAAAATCCTTAAAAATGACAAATAATCCTTAAATACACTTTCCAAAGGTCTTAAATGTCCAAAGACCCAATAAACAAGATTTTTTTATTGCTATAAAATTTTCGTGAATTTCTAGTTAGTTCAGCATTTCTTGTGTACGATGTTGCCGTAAGCAGAACCGTACACATTCGGTTGGTTTGTGAAAGGGGCTATTTCTAAATGAACACATTAGCTGGTTAAGCTAGTGGGAGTTTGCGCCATGGGGAAGTTTAATGGTAACTGGATGGCTAATCCCACATTCGCGACATGGTTAGCACCGGTTCCAGGCAATAGCTGGAAATTATAGCTTAAATTTGGTCAAAGTGGCCTTAAAAAGGTCTTAAAAAGTCTTAAATTTGGCTCCGTTAAACCTGCAGATACCCTGTCCCTCTTCACCACGACAGATCGGCTCAGCGTCCGCATCACTGCAGACGCCGAACCGATCCGCCTGTCGATCTCCCGATCCCTCCTACCCTCACTCGTGAACAAGACCCCGAGATACTTAAACTCCTCCACTTGAGGTAGGACCTCTCTCCCGACCCGAAGTTGGCAAGCCACCCTTTTCCGGTCGAGAACCATGGTCTCAGATTTGGAGGTGCTGATCCTCAGCCGCTTCAGCCGTATTTTAAATCAATACGTTTAAGACATTTATCCGTAAAGTGCTGAAAACCCGTAGAACCAGATCATCACCATCAGCTGTTTACATATGTAAACGTCTGCTGCCCTTCAGGCGTCAGACCGACCCGACCCTGGTCCTGGAGGGCTTCATTTATCATCTGAACCGTTTAATTATTAAAGCTGGTGTCTGTCACTGGGTGAGAGGCGGGGGACGCCCTGGACAGGTCACCGGTCCACCACACACTACCACTCACACGCTTGGGACAGATTAGGATTACCAGTAATCTGACATGTTTTTATCCGCAAAAACGTGCACGAGTACCTGGAAAAAAACCCGCATGGGGAGAACACGCTAATCTCACACAGAAAGGCTGCAGCTGGGAATCGAACCTGCAACCTCCACGCTGCAAAGCAACAGTGTTTGTGTTTAATACTGTCCTCGTGCTTTTTCACAACACCTCTGATTCTCAGGTGTGTTCTTGCTGTGTCGTATCCCTAATTCCATGCTGTAGTTCTTTTTTAAAACACAGAGCAGTTTTGTTTACCTGTTTTCCCGCGGGAAAACAGGTAAACAAAACTGCTCTGTGTTTTAAAAAAGAACTACAGCATGGCACCTCTGATTCGTTTCAGCCGTGCAGGCGTGTTGTGGCTGCAGCTGCGGGACGTCCTCACAGAGACAAGTGTCCTCGCGGCATTAACGTCAGCTGTTGTAACTGCTGACACGCACATGCACGTGCACGCGCGCGCACGTGCCACCAATCACATGGAGCTGGGCCGGCTTTCAGGTGCATCATGCTCTGAGTTCTACTTTGGGGTTTGTCGAAGCTTTCCAATTTTCTAAACGAAGACACGGGCGGGCTGCGCGGTGGCGCAGTGGTTAGAGCTGT